GGGGGAGGGGACACCGTGCGCTTTTGTGTATTCCGGATTTCCGTTTGCAAATTGCATAATGGACACTCTCGTTTGGTTTGCCGAATTTAATCTTGATGAATTTATAAATATACTGCAAACGCAAAATGGCCAACCGACCCATTAAGCCAAACGGGTTAAGTTTAACTCGCGTATTGATTTTCGCAGCGCGCGGCGCCGCAGTCAAACATTTTTACGTTTGCGCGCGCGACGTCGCAAAATCCCCTCTCACTCCCATGAAAATTATTCATTCCGAAGAGGGAGAGAGAGAGAGAGAGAGAGCGAGCAAGTGAACACGCTCGCTTTATGCAAATCCCGCTTATGAATATTATTCGCCGCGAGCGAGCGAGCGAGCGGCGGCGCGGCCCATTATCGGCGCCATATCGAGTATTGAATTCGGGTCGCAGAATTACATCGGTCGTTTTATCGTCGTCCGACTTTGTGAGCGCGAAAAGAAAGAGAAATAAAAAAATAGAGAGAGAGAGAGAGAGAGAGAGAGAGAGAGAGAGAGAGAGAGTGAGAGAGAGAGAGAGAGAGAGAGAGAGAGAGAGAGAGAGAGAGAGAGAGAGAGAAACGGAAAAGGCGAACAGAAAGGCTGAAATGAACTCGCGGCGCGTAAACGAGCGCCGTTATTCACTCTCGCGCCGGGAGAACTCTCGGCGAAATGAAAAATTTAAACGCGTAACCTCGTGGTTATCGTCGAGATCCGGCGGCTGACAAATTTCGGCCATCCCGGAGCGCTATCAGCCGGCTCGATTCCACCATCGATAATCTCTCCGCTCGTGAAATTCAACGACGTCGACGCAAATTTATCGTTCGCCGACGATCTCGCGGTCTCGTTAAGGTTGCGTAATATGCTGGAACGAATTCTCACCATGATACAAACGACGATCACACGGCGGTCACGAGTCCGCGCGATAAAACGACCGATCGAAAATTCACACTGTAATTTCGCGTAATCCACGGGTATTAGACGGTGATTCACTTCATTAATAACGCGTTATTAAATCGCTAGTGAGATGATCGCCGTAATCAAGCGATTTTCACGGCACGTACTTTCACGATCTTCTACCAAAAGGAAAGCGTCAACAATTCCCTTGCGGCGTGTCATACATATACAGGGTGTCTCACGAGGAAAAATTAATATTCTAGGAGGTGACGGTAATATTAGTCATTTTGAGTAGAAACGTTCATATGAAACTTTAAAAACGTGTCGCTCGAACAATGGATTATTAGAAAATGTACGTAGCTTTCTTAACAGTCATTTTCAATCTCGAAATCCGTTCAGAGTAAAACACGTACCAAATGCACGTGGTAATGCTATAATAACATTAGCAATGGATCACGACACGGCGATAACCCGCAAACTCTTTGGCACCTCTGCGAAAGAAAGTACCCGTGAAATAAGCCTCAAAAGAATGGGACACGTTCATATAAACCTTTTTACTTAAAATGAAAGCTTATTTCCCAGAATATATTGATTTCTTTTCTTCTGGAACACCCCCTATATATACATAGATTTTAAATGGATATTAAGGGACCTACAGGCCTATTCTGTAACTTTTGACGACAGTTCGAGATCGTTATACTGTTGTTGCTCGCAGCTTTTTCATCACGCGCAACGACATCACTAGCTAGTAAAATTGCCGTTAAAAAAGTTACGGAATAGGCCTACTGACATCGTCTTTTTCCGGCAAAATTACCACCTTTGTTGCGTACTAAATTCGTATTAGTTGTGAAATACAGAGTGCTATATCTGTTTGACACGATTCCGTCGGAGTGTGGTCGTCACGTCAGCGTTCTCTTAATGATTATGACAGAAACGCGTATGTGGCGACTAGCTCGAAACGGGGGGACTGATAAGACGGAGAATGTTATGCGCGTTGAAGAGAAACGACTGTCGTTAAGTTGGTCTCGCGTGCTAATGAAACGGCCCGCTCGCGCTGCTAAGTAAAATCTCGCGTGCCGGACCCTGCCTGCGTATGTCGCGTGATACACGGGTTCTTTCAAGAGGACGCAAATCACTGCGTCGAGATATTGCCGCGCTCCGACGGAAATTCGACGATGTTATCGCAAGCAGTTTCATTAAGAATTTCCCCCTCGGTCGCTTCCTCTTCAAATCGCTGCCATGACCCGGTCGCGACGCGCGACGTGGCGCGCCGCGATAACTCGACGCGACAGAACAACTTCGACGCTAGATAAGACCCTTGTGAATTTGGTAAAATAAAAGTAAAAAGGTTTCTCAGTCGATTAACTCGAATAAATATAGGGTAAACCTGGTATATACGCCGCGTCAGGAAATACGCCGCAGAAGTCAGAAAAAATAGAAGGATTGGGGATAATTTTCCGTCAATTACTTTGTTACATGCCTTTATGGTATATTAGTATTATGTTATGATTTCAGTTCTTTACTGTTAATATTAATGAAATTATTGCGAGTTAAATCGATTTTTTACTGTAATAAGTAGTGCCATCATAATTTATAATCTACATAAAATGATTATTATAGAGCGTATAAAAGACTTAGTGGTTATTTTGCAATACATATATGTATAGAGGAATAGTAAAGCATGTTGTATAGCAAAATACAAGTGCTTTGCTCCTGTATTGTTTGTTTAATTAGTTGTCATATATATCCCATCTATTTGGGATATACGGCATTTTTAGCGAGCGGGATGCTGTGCCGCAGCACAGACGCTCTATTTAAGAAGTTTTTGTTAATTCTAACAATTATACATTGCATTAATGCATAAATGTTGATAAATCTTAAACGTTTAAAGATTATTTTCAAAGATTTGAAGCTATTTTAAAAAATTGTATCAAGTCCTATTTGTATTCCAATTTTCATTCTGAACAATAAAAATTGTCATATAACAATGCAAGTTTACGTCGTCATTTTACATCTTATTTATAGATTATTTGTGATTTTCTTATGAATTATATACGAGTGGCCATATATTATCCCCCCCCCCTATGGGATAAACGGCAAAAATGCAGGGGTTTGAAAAAGTTACTTTTTAATATGGAAAATAAATTATTTTGGATTTCTAATATTTTTTTTATAGTAGTAGATGATACAAAGTTTTTATTTGTATAATTAATTTGCTTTAAACATAGTAAATAATAATTGATAAATTAAGTTTTCGATAGGTGCGGCGTATATACCGGGTTTACCCTATTAATTAAACGATCAAAGCTCCTCTCAAACGCACGCGCGTGACTATAAATTAACAATATAATAATCTGAATTAATTAAACGATCAAAGCGCAAACATTTTACAAAATTATTACGTGGGAAATTTTCTCAAATGATACTTGGAATATACGCTGACTCTTGCACGGCATAATTTTACTTTTGATTATAATTTATTTTGAAGATAATTCACCACACGATGTAGGAGGTATCCAAGGCAGACGCGCGATTATCATGCCGTCGTGCGGCGATTAGAAAATCTCACGTACTCATCACCGGTCGTGTTCACATCCCTTTTTCACCGGCGGGACAGATTACCGGTCATTCCGCTTGACATACGCGCGTAAAAGCCCTTACATTCGCATGACGTCGCGCGTAATCGGCCATTTTTACCGTAAATAGGGCCCGCTCATCGGCCCCACGCGCATAACTCTTTTTAACGCCGCTCGCGTTTTCGCCGGCAGTTTTTCCTTGCCGCTCGCGTACGTGCGCTCCCTGGGCGGATGTACACTCGTGTGCATGCACACCCACGTGCTTTAATTGCCACACCCGCTTCGACCCCATATTTCACCCGTGTGTCAGCGGGCTTGATGTTTCCCCGCGGTAAACACGCACAGCCCCGGAGGTCCACCGGCGCATTCGTCAGGGTCGGATTAAAAGGGCATACTGTATTTTCGCGCAAAATGATTTTAATGTAACGCTTCGCCAGTAACGCGTCGCGTCCTTTTATTTTAGAAAGTTAGGAGCCGCGTTAACGCGTTATTATTATCTTTTTTTCGCGATTTAAAGCGTACGAGCGCGAGCCTGCATCATGGTCAGCCGCCGCGTCGATGCGGAAATTGAAGATTACAGTTCTTCGAAAGTAGCAATTCGCGCTGCCGTCGGTGAAAATCGTAAACGATGATTCGTGACCGTCTTCTGGGATACGCCCTGGATCCGCCCCTGTAATGCGTGCGTGGCTCTTTGTAACCGCAACAATATGCACGCCGAAAACGTGCAATGTATGCATTCATTCGCGTGCACTTTGCGATGCCGCACTCTCGTGCGTGCCGAGGGGTGGTGCACCTATAAACGGGGCCGTTAACGAGTTTTAAATCTTCCCCCGCTTTTCCTTCGAATTATTCCCTCTCTCTCTCTTCCGTAATCTCTTTCTTAATTTCGAATGGACTTCCATGAAATTACCATTAGTAGCTTAAATTATACGTGAAAGAATTACGAGTATATAACGACAATTTGTTAAGCTCCCTCCCGCGAGAAGAAAAGAACTCAATTGTTGCGCGTGCACAGTATAGATCCAGAGGAGGAAAATTCGCTAAAACGTACGATATAAATATTTCGTCGGATCTGAAAAGTTCAGTAATTGGTTTAGTTAGCGGGCCAACGTTGTGTCAGGACAGAAAGTTCGGCCATAAGCGAAATTTACTATTCAAATTCGGTCGACTCTGCTGCATTAGGGTGAATGTCTGCCTGACTATGCAACATGGCGTGACAAGCACGAGAATAGAACCGCATCGGGTTTTACGAGATCGCGTGATCACCGCCAGCAAACATCGTCTCTACCATGAATTTCGTCGGTGCATGCCCGCCCGCCTTTATTTTATCCGATTCCCAACTCTGATTCCGACCGCGCGCGCACCACCTCGGACTATCCCTATGTATTGTATCTCGGAAAAAGCAATGCAGAATGCATCTTCCGTTTGCGGGAGGGGGAGGCGCCTTTTTACGCGCGCATAAATATTTTGTTTTACTGCCCGTACGGCTGTATATCCGTTTGACTGGTATGAGCCACCGTAAATCGTATTATAAGTATGATAGCAGAATCTAAATATCTCTTCTCGACTATTGCCATAATTTGAGAAAAAAAGATGCTCCCAACGGAGTAGTATTTTATTGAGAATGAAACGGGACATTGGAATAACTTGAGTAACGGGTGACATCTTTATATTCCTTTAAATAAACTAATTAAACCGTCATGTTATTTATTACGATCAGGAATGAAAGAAAGGGTGGTGTGTCTTAACGAAAGCTTTAGTATCTCTTGGCGAAGCGAATTTTCTCACGACGCTGTAATTTTACTGCGACACGCTCTATTAATACAGATGCGTATGCGTATTGTGAGAATATATAACAGAGGCCAGCAGCATGCCTGGGTTCGCCAACGTTATGGAAATTCCGACGTGTGCATTGCTAAATATACTGGCGCCTGCTCCCTCTCTCTCTCTTTCTCTCACTCGTCGCGGTTGTTCCCGCGGTTAGGGAAACAACCCGGAGAGAGTTCCCGATGGTTGCATAATCGAATTTATGCTTGCGGCTGATTTGTATCGTAGAGAGTGGCATAGATCCTAGCTATTTTGCAATTCAGTCCTATCCCAAGTGTCCAGATTAAACCAACGTCATCTTTGAAGGTTAAAACTTTGAAATGTCATTCCCTCTCTCTCTCTCTCTCTCTCTCTCTCTCTCTCTCTCGGAGTATCCCGGAAATATATAGATATCGATAGTCTCTTTAAGCCTTGAAATAATCGAAAATATGAAGATTGATTCTTTCCTACCATTTTTTGCAAACGAAAATCAAGTATTTTATCCTTAATTTCATCTATTTAGCTGATCCGACATAAATCAAAGAATTTTTATTATTTGAAGGATTTATGGAGATCCCAAAAAATATAGTTTGTCATTTATAATTGGTTAATCTTACATAAATCAAAGAATTTTTATTACTTGGAGGAATTTATCAAGATCCCAAAAATTACTAGGTCGATTATAATAGTATAGAATCTTGTATGCTTCAAGAGAATTATGCAATAAATTACATCGCTTACCACATGTTAAACCCGTCTTGATATGATTGATAGGATTGCAAAGGGTTGATATTATCGATTCTCAGTAGCGTAAGAACCTATCAGATGATAGTATCATTTACTTGGAGACTTAAAGCGTTTCAGAAATTAAAGGAAATCAGTCCGGAGAAATGTGACTGGCTTTTCCATCCAATTCAGCAGCGTTCCGTTCCTTCTTTGCACCTTCTCCCTCTCTTTGTTCCTCTCTTTCCTTCTTTCTCCGTCACGTGCAACAGCCGGGAAGACGGGAACGGGGTTGATCCACCCCAGTTGAGTCCCGCGCGAAGAAAGGAACGAAGAGGAAGAGAAGCCGCATAGTGGATCGAGGGAGGAGAAAAGGGAGAGGGGAGTTCGTCGGCGGAATGGAATCCATTTCGAAATTGCAAGCCACCCTGTTCGATCCCCTTTCTCCACCACCCCACCCTCCGTATCCCGACACCCTCCCGCGGCCTTTTCCTGGCTCCTTCCCTCAGGAAAAGCCACTCCCCCTGCTCGACTCACACCGCTCGTCTCGCTCTCTATCTCTCTGGCTCGCTCCCTTTCGGGAGACAGCGTGCTCGCCTCGAATACTGATATCGAGCAAAGTCCTTTTTCCCTTAAACCGAGCAGCCACCAGGAATAATGCATTATACGTACGCGTCCTTCGTCTCTCACTACCTCTCTCGCTTCGTCGCTCGACTTTTCCTCTCACGCTCTGATCATAGTACTTTCCTTCGTGTCTTGCTAAGTCTTAGTCTCCTTCGCCTTTCATCATGTCGACGAGCTTGAAATGTACCCAAATTTGTCCTGAAATAGTTTTACATTTTTAATTAATAGTTTGTCTCATAATGAATGTGTCTCTTACATTAGATCGACGCGTCCCCTCCTGTTGAATGATTAATGATTGGTGAAACTCAACGCTTTGTCTTTATTTGTTTTAGGCCTGTAACGAATTCACTACTCACGTAATGAACCTGTTGAGGGAACAGAGTCGTACCAGGCCGATCACGCCTAAAGAAATTGAAAGGATGGTCCAGATTATCCACAAGAAGTTCTCAAGCATCCAGATGCAGCTGAAACAGTCCACTTGCGAAGCTGTGATGATCCTGAGGAGTCGATTTTTGGACGCTAGGTTCGTGTTCAAACACTAACGCAAATAATAGATGCATATAGTATACAATATGCATTTAATTTATCATTTTCTTTGTTTATCCAAATTCGGATAATATTCGCTGTGTAATTAACGTGATACGAATTAAATTTTGTTGCAGACGTAAAAGAAGAAATTTCAGCAAACAGGCGTCCGAAATTCTGAACGAATACTTTTATTCTCACCTCAGTAATCCCTACCCAAGTGAAGAGGCCAAGGAAGAACTTGCACGAAAATGCGGAATTACCGTGAGTCAGGTATCGTCCATTATCTTTTCTTATATATGTATAGGTATATTAGATGATGAATTTTTGCAACTTATATTCGGTGCCACGCCATGACTTTTAATTTGTCAAGTAATTTTAAATGTTTGTTAACCTTATTCTTTAACCACTTCACTGGTAATGTATCATATGTGTAAAAAAAAAAAAAGTGCCACGACTGGTAATGTATCATATATGTACATCTTTACATAACTTCCACAATTTTCAACGAATTCGCATAAAATTTGGTATATTATAGTTTTTTAGATCGCTGAATACGAATCTGATGTCACAATTTCAAAATTCAAAATAGCGGATCCAAGATGGCGGACCGAAATTCAAAAAGTTACTTGATCTAACTGAAATTTGTTACTCGGGGGTTTTTGGGGTCGCTGATTACGAATCTGATCTCAGATTTTCAAAATTCAAAATGGCGGATCCAAGATGGCGGACCGAAATGCAAAAAGTTACTTGATCTAATTGAAATTTGTTACTCGAGGGTTTTTGGTTTCGCTGATTTCATTTCAATTCAAAATGGCGGACATAATATGGCGTGAAAAAATTTAAATAATTTTACAGTGCCGTATATTGCCAAATCCGATGTCGAATTTCCAAAATTCGATAAAATAAGTCAATACAATAAACAGACTTCCTGTTGCACGAAACGAATCTTCGAAAACAGCCAATAATATTCCAAGCGGCGCCTCCGGCCTCCTTATGAGGAAAATCGAATCACGATTTGAAAACGGGAGCGCTCGTCGCCTCGCCGCGCCGCCTAGTGGTTGACCATACGAAATCGCAGATTTTTGATCCGCAATTTTGAATCTTTAAACAAATGAATCACTTGAAATTTATTTGAAATCATGTTCAGATAAACACATTTTTTTGTGAAAAATG